ATGCCGGTCAACCCAAAGCAGATCCACCCAGTCAACTACATCACCGTCCAGATCCCACACCACCAAAGACGGAAAGATGCAGTTGTGCTCGACGGTCATTGAAGATTCTGCACAAAGGTGACTGAGGCCCACCACGGGATACCGAGCAGTAGTGGAAACAGGTGCTCTCTGTTCCAAAACGCGTGGATAGCCGGCAAACTTGCACAGTGCTACCATTTGATTGCAGTTTGACTGAGCCAATTACAGGTGAGGAGGTGGGCGGACGATCCGTCTAATGAGCAATTCGTCCACATGCATAGATGGGCTCACGCCCAGGATGCGCTTACTAGGTATTTCAATTTACTTTTATTAAATGACGGTGAGGAGGTGGGCGGACGATCCGTCTAATGGGCATTTCGTCCACATGCATAGATGGGCCCACGCCCAGGATGCGCTCGCTGGGTATTTCAACTTACTTTTATTAAATGACGATTGTCTCTGATATCTGTGCCGTGTCCATATTACGCGAGTTCCGGAGGTCCGAAATCCGACTTCACCGGACCAACTGAGACCAATCAATCCATCCTTTTCCGATGCTTTCATAATATTCTTACTGATCACTGGAGTCGTAGATTTCAACTGCCCTCACTCCAATTTGGATTTCTACATCGAGACGGTTATTTGGAAGCGAAATCGCTGCGTCGACACTCTACAGCAAGTGCTTCTAACCTCAGTTTGGCGTTTGTTGATATCTCGAGAGCGTTTGGTTCGGATTCGCATGACACAATCGTCAGATCTGCGAAGGCGTCTGGAGTACCGTTAACTTTTGTTCAATACAACACAAAGTAGCGTGAGAATACTGTAGTAGTTTCTCCACTTCAGAGATCCACCACCGCAGAGGTGTGAGGCAGAGTGTGCTGTTTTGTATCTTAATTTTATTTCCGTTATAACATTGCGTGTTTTGTCAGTTGCATGACCGTTTTTCGTTTGAATATGAAAAACTACAAAAAAGCACTCTTGTACACTTTCACCCGATACAAACGTGATCACGTGCTCCGACTCTCTCTTCTGATTTCGCTCGCGCTTACAGCGGTCCTTCGCAAGCCTCATATGCTAACTTTGGTATCACAACATTTCATACAATCTTGGGAATCTAAAAGTGAGGACTGTTCAGAAGACCCCTGGACAACGATGATTAGATTACTGTTTATTCGCTGATCTGGGCCAACGACGAACTATTTACAGAGAACAACACCTAGTGAGTCTGTTCAGTCTGACCTTTATATTATTGTATACTCAAACTAGCGTTATTATTTTTTATTTCATTGGCACACACTCCTAGTAAAATAGATTTCTGGGTAGCCAGACCAGTACAAGAGAGATCCACTGTCCCCATTATTGTTCCTCATGGCAATGGATGAGTTTCTTGGTTCTTGTCGATGCCGCAACTGTGATACCAGTTCCACGACACTCTAGTAGATGGTTTTGCCTTTGCTAACGACTGGGTCGTGTGTGCAGAATGTCAGGCTCGCCTTGAAGACAAGCTTGAAGCCGATGCGGACGCGTTGGGAAGAGCTGGTATGAAGACGTCCGAAAGACGAAACCAATGATTATTTGTAGAGACAGGAAATACCGGTCGTTGATGGTCGCGGCTCACGAGAGTCGGTCGCTTCGCCTCTGTCAAATTAATGGTTTGTCTTTCCTGGACAAATGCTTCCCCCAATATTTATCCGCGGTATCCAGCTCCGATGCAACCTTCTCAGGACGAGAATTAGAAGCGCTCGGCGAGGTCATGGTGGACAGATGATGTTTTGTCGTGGAAGCTGTGGCCAAAGGAAGTGTTTGGTGCATACTCTGCAGTTCTGCCTGATCACGCATGACGCTAGATGTGCTCGTCTTAATCGCACTCGTCTTCGCACACTCGCGAAACGTCTCCGCCGCCCGGGATACACCAACGTCGAGGAGTTGAGAGCACCTACTTCGACGTCCTTCATCAAACCCTACCTAATCACTGTTCTGGGGCGCCGAACAACTGTGATAGAACTAAGTATAGTCTCAGATGTGCGCGGAGTGACTGTGAAATGAAAAGAAGCGGAAGCATGGTGCTGATGAATAATCCCTCGCCATATTCTCAGCTTGCGTACAATCAAGTGTGGTGTCGGATTTTCGATTCTCAAATCGACGATCTTTTCTAATTGATGGATCTGCTTGATTTATCTGCCAAAGCTGTAATTGAACTGAGACTCTCTAAGGTCACGGTAGGTGACTGTGATTGTTTGCCATTATGGGCTCTCTGCGTACTTTCGTGCGTTTTGCACGGCAGTGAGTGCTCATTTTCGCCACTGACTTTCAGACCTGATTCAGTGTGACGGACATTTTGTACCTAATGTGCGAGTGTTGACTATGGCATCGCTTACCACGCCTTGATGAGTGTTCAGCATTGTTCGTGCTTTCCTCGGTTCTTGGTCTTTTCACGCAGGTTTCCATACCAAGCTTTCTTACATACGTCGGGATTCCTCTTGTTTGGTTGGGTCGGTAACATACTTCGACGTCCTTCATCAAACCCTACCTAATCACTATTCTGGGGCGCCGAACAACTGTGATAGACCTGAGTATAGTCTCAGATGTGCGCGGAGTGACTGTGAAATGAAAAGAAGTGGAAGCATGGTGCTGATGAATAATCCCTCGCCATATTCTCAGCTTGCGTACAATCAAGTGTGGTGTCGGATTTTCGATTCTCAAATCGACGATCTTTTCTAATTGATGGATCTGCTTGATTTATCTGCCAAAGCTGTAATTGAACTGAGACTCTCTAAGGTCACGGTAGGTGACTTGTGATTGCTTGCCATTATGGGCTCTCTGCGTACTTACGATACTTTCGTGCGTTTTGCACGGCAGTGAGTGCTCATTTTCGCCACTGACTTTCAGACCTGATTCAGTGTGACGGACATTTTGTACCTAATGTGCGAGTGTTGACTATGGCATCGCTTACCACGCCTTGATGAGTGTTCAGCATTGTTCGTGCTTTCCTCGGTTCTTGGTCTTTTCACGCAGGTTTCCATACCAAGCTTTCTTACATACGTCGGGATTCCTCTTGTTTGGTTGGAACTGTCGGTAACATGACTTTGAATGAGGCGCTTCCCTCCTTTTATCCAATATTCTCCTGTACATTCTCCTACATCTCTCGGATGGATTTACCTTTTCTTTTTGTAGCCATGTTCTTCAAAGATGAAGGATAATCATAAGCAATTCTGGTTCCGGGACGCTGTAGAACAAAAAGCCGGATAGCATACCGCTATGCAAACCTATGTGTTCAATAAAATGCCAATCAAAATTTCCTTCATTGAAGAGTCACATTGCGTGGATATTGCTTTTATAGGACATTATAGGACACTGTAACGTATATCAGTTTCACACCCAGCCCCGCTGTCAAACTACACGGCCAGCTTGTATGTAGAGTCACATTGCGTGGATATTGCTTTTATGGACATTATAGGACACTGTAACGTATATTAGTTTCACTCCCAGCCCCGCTGTTAAACTACACGGCCAGCTTGTATGCAGACATCTGCATGCTCCTACAGAACATCATATACCAGACAGTAAACGTATCATCTGTTGGATTGACTAAGTGAACGAAATTCTATCTTCCTATGGGGATGTTTTCGACTCACGTGCAAGCAAGTCACAAATAGTGTGAGAGAGATTGTTCCTTTGTAATAGTACATTTGAATCATATCCCTGAGTCATCTGCAAGCAATGCGATTAAAATTGTGTCTGATCACATGAGCTGTAATTGTTCGGTCACAACAGAAAGTCGGTATTCAGCGGAAGATTGCTTAAAATTCAGACGACTTGTGTGATTCCAGGGCAAAAAACGCCGTTCATTAAGCTTTGACTACTGCTTAGAATGAAAGTAATGAAAAATACGCTCTCTGTCACAGATTTTATCCACATGAATGGTGCTCCACGCACGCGATTCACACTGCAAGTCAAAAGATGACAGACACCGCTGCGCACATTGAACAAGATGTTTTCTGTGGTCTTGTCACACTAGCCAACACGTGCTTTAAACCTATCATCGTTTTTGCATATGGAAAATTAATGCATGTATTCGTTCCGGAATTTGTAGCAGCCCTAATATATGGGAGTTTAGAGTTTAGATGCCGAGTTTAGGTATCGGATTCAATCTTCACTTGGGAGTAACAAATAGTCCTCTCTGGGCTTATCCAACCACTGAACAAAGTACAAACAAAAATTATTTCCCGAGGTTAACAAATATTGAAATATGACGCTCCAAAATGAGTTTAACATGAGGTTTTAAAAACTTCACGGAAACTATCCTTCATGTAGGAAGGCCAACAAAAAATAACCGACGTAGTCATTTTTGTAATGCACTACTCACAAGGTTGATGAAAACTCCTCGACAGTCCCGACCGGTTTTAATGGGGCTCATCAGGTAGGCGCAGTTCCCGAGTTTCCGTCAACCGGTTGTTCTACTTGAAACCAAATTGCACCGAATTAGCGAAACACACTCATTTGCAAACGAACTTGGTTTTGCGAGAGACTCACCAACAGCCTAGCTGAATCTCTCGGTTTTGACGTTTCCGAGAGATTCAGCTGGGTTTCTGGGTGAGTCTCTCGCAAAACCAAATCTCACTAACCGACATGATTGTTTGATTTGCAGGAAATATTCACCTATTGATTGCTAACTGCTACAAAAATGAATTTGAATAATGAAAGGTATTTTTAAGTTTTTAACTTACCAAGTTTTCGTTCAGTCGAGCTACCTTAGCATAGTAAAATGTTTTCTCACAAAATAAATCGGAGCGCTGAAGTTACGTACCATTCCAGAATAATACTAATGTGAAAGCTTCCACCTGCGTCCACAGGTACCGCAGCATACTGTTCATCTTTTTTGTTAGTCGGAAAGAAATGATTCCATGTGTGCAAATTGTGTCGCTGTTTTGAGGATATCTTCTGTAGTTGATGTTCGAAGACCAGGTTACCAGAATGACCTGCGTTTGTGTGGCGGTATAGGCTGGACTAGATGGTTTGAACTTACGAACTAAATGATTATGCAGGACAAGGGAATCTGGGTGAATATGGATGGATAGGTTACAACATCAATCTGCATGCACATCGACTTCCTCTTGTGAGATGTGCACACATCGTAAGTTGAACTAATGAGTTGGACGAGGAACTAAGACTGCCGGGAGCGCCGGGGCTATGATTACCTGATAAGACGTAAGGGTGACGAAACCTCATATGTTGTGCACTGTCAAAAAAATCAGTGTAAAGAATGGGGTAAGATTATATCTACACGGCAATAAACAAATCAAGTGAATTTCTATAAACGGTGATTTTAGTCAAACCTGCAAATACAACAGGTCCTATACAAAGTATTGTCCTAAGTCCGTGGCTTTCCGGAAACCGAAATGTTACCGAACTATTAAAAACGTTTCGGTGCTCCATATATTTCGGGCTCCGCAGAGTAAACAGCCTCCGGAAGATAACTGACACATTATAAAATGATAATGGCTTTGTTGCATTCCGTTGCACTTCATTAATAATTCTGAGGATACTTTGAGAAAGAAAAACCCATTAGCCGAATGCTGTACATTTACTTCACACTGGGCGACGATCCTCACAAAAATGAACGAAATAGAGAAACGAGCGAGCGGATGGTGACTAAAGTTGCTAGAAACGATGAGTGCCGCACCGCGCGTGCATGTTGCTTCCTGAAGCGGATGTAGGTCTAACGGAGTCATCAGTTATAAGTGACGGGCCTACAAGGATGGATTTGGTAATGGGGTGTGGGAGGGAGAATAAAACGTATGTGAAAGAGAAAGAATGGGCGCATCAGCTGTGGTCCGTTTGCGCTTAACTCCTCTGCTGTATACAGCAAGTGAAGCAAATCGGCCCATGGGACCAGGTGACGCCGATTTAGCATGGGTTTATTCGCATATGTGCAATTCATGATTGTACGTGGGCTGGGCTACTGCAAGGTGCCCACACCTAGACAGGAGGACGATTATGCTCGTCAGCCAAAGACTTTGACTCCAAAGCCTGACCACAAGGTAGCGGAGTTTGGCTTGAAATGCAACTACATATCTATTTTGCGGAACAGACACCTTCCAATTACCAAGCTGGAGGACCAGGAGTCTACGCCGATCAGAACTCTCATCACTGAGGACTTCACGAGTGTCGCGCGGACATGGCAACATTAACATGACGATGGTTCATCTGTGACACCCTTTCGGTAACTGGCTGACATGCAACCCGAATGAGGCCCGAGTGCTGGAGTCCTGTCAGTTACCTAATCCCATATAGTGGAATTTGAGAAACGGAGGTCGGGCTTGAAGCCCTGAAATTCCGGCCAGTATATTCATTCTATACCCATCAAGCCGTCACGCCATTTCGGCGTGAACCGAACGCGAACTCCTTTTTTTTATAAAATAGTCTCGATAGGTTATAATAATAAAATCAAGTGTTTTGACTTGGGTTGTATTGAAGTGCGTGCTCAGTCTGTTTTGAATATGCCTGTGTGATCCAAAGCTTTCACATCTCTATCCTGGATGCCAATTCACTCCCGACTGTCAGCTGACTTCAGCCGAAAGGCTTCAAATCCACTAATCAATAATGAATTTTGGATGGGCGTTGCTGTAATAGTTATGCGGTGGACATGGTGCAATTTATTGATGCACCGACTTTATCAGGCCAGTCATCCGAATCCATCTGTATTAATGTTTGCCGAACTTACTCCTCAGTGATCGAAATTTTTAACCGTGTGCATGACAATACACCGCTCGTTTCGTTTGCTCGTTTCTCGTCCAGCATAGCCGCTGTAATGATGTTTCCCGCAACGGCGTTTGGGCTATTCATTAACACCATGCTTGTATTTAAACTGGCGTTGTGCGTTAAACGACCACGACATTTGGAGTTGTATGGCATCGCTACAGCCCTTGTGGACATGGGGTTTCTAGTTTTTGTTGGAATAGTATACTCGTTCCCGAAATTCGGTTCAGCCTGGTGGAATTCTCAGAAGAGGCCTTTCGGCCAGAATAATCATATATCTTGCAAGTTACAAGCGGCGATTTTCGAAATTTTATTCGCCACCAGAATTAGCTTACCTTTGCCAATACTTTTTGATGAACTTAGTGCACACCGAATTCCGACTACACAAACCCACGCAAAGACCCAAATTTTTCTCAAAATCTTCAGCACAGTAATTAGCTCACTGGTTAGTTCTTTCCCTGGATTCCTGCTTCACGGAATTTGGCAGAAAGACGGACAGTTTGATTGCAAAGTTGATCCCCAGTGGCATCCCTACTATCACTCTTTCTACAGAGCTCATGTGCATCTATTCTGCTACGGTTTAGTTCAGAGTTTTTGCTTGTTTTTCATGTTGTTGCTTCTGAGAAGACGCTTGAAGCGAGAACAGGCTATTGTAAAATACCTTCGAAACATTCCCGCCACACCCAACCCCATCTCCGCAGCAATTTTAAGTTATGAATACAAATTGAACGATTCGTGTAGGAACTTTCGTATTGTGCTCTACCAGTTTGCATTGTTATGTGGACTTCGGTTGTTTCGAGGGTCAGCCCAGTTGATGCAACGTTTCGTCACTCAAAGAAAAGTCCCAAAGAAGGAAATCAAAACAGCTTGGTTCACCCTGTGGAACCTTGCCACTTTTGTGGAAACTATACTAACCACATTACCTTACTTCATATGGTATGCAATAGTGCCGGAAATGAGCAGGAACTCGTGCCGTAGAAAGCACACGAATACAGGCACTAAGAAAACCGTCACCGGAACTCTGAGTGAACTGGACAATTATTTTGCGCAGGCACTTCATAATCTTGGTGACACCGTAGTTGAAGAAAGGCGCTTTCCTTTGATTATGCGTCACCTAAAAATGTGCAAAATGCGTCTTTTGAATAAATACACTGAAGCAAAAACGAAACCATACGGTGAGCAACTTGAGTCGGTCGATCCCATCCCCTGCGTGAATGCTGGTAAGTCGAGTACAGTTCCTCAAAGTTCAAAAATCTCTTACGTGCGCGTACCAGAGGAGTTGTATGCTGTTAACTCGGTCGGAAGTTCAGATGACTCGCAACCAGACGGAGGATGAATAATATTTGTGGTGTCCAAAACATGGAGTCTGATAAACGCGCTCATGATTGGTTGTAGGAGTGTCAACGTGTTGGAACAGGCTCATCAGTTCGAATCATGACGATGCGGGGATTTTATTCGATGCAACAGTTTGAGCGGTTGTTTCTTGAAGCTTAGCAGCCGGACTACGTATGAATTACCATTAGACAAAAAAATTCCCTCCTGCTTCCTCTTCCATTATCACCCGGAAATACAAGATTTTCTCGCACAGTACTGTTCATTTTAAGCTATTGAATGAGTGACTGAATAAGTCTTTTTTAAATTCTAGCAGATTCACCAAGTAGCAGGATCCACGCACACATAATTTGCATAAAGAAAGCGAACAGTACAATCCAACATTATTTTGGTTTTTCATCCGGCACCTCCATTCATCTAAGTTTCATTCAGAATAAAAGGCTGTTCAGAGGTCTAAAACGTACAGTCTACGCAGTTCAGTTGAATCGCGGAGTTATTTCCGCTGAATGTTCACTCCTGGTGCACGGTCCAGTGGACTGCTTTCCGCATATTGAATCAAGTGTAATTGGTCCATAGAAATTGTCAGTTTCAGGTGAAACCGAACAAAGTTTGTGTGCTTGTGTTGACCACGCCTCTCGATGCCGATTTCACAGATATATCAGCTGTGTTCGCACGTACAGTTCGCATGATTGCACTGAGCACTAAAGTCAAAATTCCTATTGCTTTTTTGCATTCACAGCCGTGTTACACGAATAAATCCGCGACCATTACGTTATAGCATTAGACTTATGCACAATGCGGATACTNAATTTCACCCTGTCCAAAACAGTCAGTTTCTTGAAGAACCCATAGTCTTGCTTTGAATCAGCCGAAACCTAGTGAAACATCTCCAAAAAGCTACAGTATAGGTCCGAAATTTTCTTTCCTTATAGTAACCTTTCTTCATATGGAGAGCTGTAACTGCCCCAGGGTGAAATTCTTTGCCTAAATTAGGCCAATATAATTAGGTTAATCCTGCACCGTCCCCACAAATGGAGTTATTATATTGGCTAATATTTCTCCATATTCAGCTTCATAGTGAAATCCACGCGAAAAGTCTAGTCTCCTATACACACAGGCTCCTTGTACTAAATTTGTATTCATCCTGTTGTGAAAATTTTTCAGGTAAACAAACGTTTACCGTCCTCCGGTAGGGCCAACAGGGTAAATACTCTCAGATATTTCTGGTCTCCACGTTAATCATCGTCATCCATAGCACAGCACCATTGTTCGAATATTGACGTTCCCCTGCCGTACATTCACAATTTATTTATTATTACTACTACTATTACTATTGGTACTGGATGTCTACAAGTCGCTTGATAAACACTACACCTTAAACCTTTGTTTGGATCTGGCTGCTCCGACTACTTATTCGTTTCTAAGACTTCTCTCCTTTTAAACAGCCTTATATATGAAGGTAGCATGGTTTTGCACTTTCATGTTCAGAACAGTCTATCTGTGAACCATTTGTGGTCTTGGTCGATTTTGTTTATGCGGTAGAAGGCCGTTAAACCGAACATCACCACGAATGAACTTGCTTTACAGTGAACGGTATCTGAGCGCTGATATCCTATGGTGCTATTCGGAATTTGTGGCGAAAGACTGTAATTACAGAAACTGTGAAAGAAGGAATCATCAGTATAACCAACATTTTTGCCGGTGATCCAAAAAGGGCAGTATTTCTTTCTTCAAGAACAGACGGGTGTTCCCGGTGAGTTCGGGAGCGATAGCACTCTCGCAAGAAAACCAGCGATACTATTTGATAATCATGGCCAATGAGGGAAGTGAGAAGGGTGATAAGGGCAGTATTTCTTTCTTCAAGAACAGACGGGTGTATCCGGTGAGTTCGGGAGCGATAGCACTCTCGCAAGAAAACCAGCGATACTATTTGATAATCATGGCCAATGAGGGAAGTGAGGAAGGGTGATGTGGTAAACATGAGGACAGCTAATACACCTTTCGTCATGTTTTCTTCCTATCAACAGTTGTCGTTAGATGGAATACTCAGTAGTCTGTCTCATTTCTTTCGTGAAATGTAAAGCTAACGATATTCGAGAGATATCGCGAGTAGTGTATTACGTTTATACATGTATCGTAATATCTCTAATATCGTATCAATGGAAAAATGAGGTGCAGCCATTCATTTGTTTAGAAACACCATAGACAAGGGATTCATCTGGGTTTCAGGTGAGTCTCTCGCAAAACCAAACTGGTAGGCAAATGAGTGTACTTCACTGATTTCGTGCAATTTGGGTTCAAGTAGATCATAAGGATGACGGAAACTCGGGGACTCCGCCTACCTGATGAGCCCCAAGAAGGGCGAAACCGGTCCTGGGCAGGGACATTTGTGCGGCTGGTTCCACAAGTTATGTTCAGAATGCAGTCGACCATAACAGCTCCAATGGATGCAGTTAATGCAGTTATGTCTAAGCTAATAGTACTACTGGACTTGGGTAATGATACGTGCGGTGGTCACCAACAGATCGATCCAATTCACTGGTGTGCAGGACGGTACCGTAAGCAAAATCAAATGGACGACCATCGAAAAACGATCATTTTCATGCAGACAAATATAGCTCATTTAGGAGAGACAGTTAGAATGAATGCGCAAGCTCTGCAATAGTACATGAATAATTCAGCGCTCTAGTGGTTCTCAGATTGATCGACCCCAATTTGAAATATCATGTGGTATCTAATCGAATATAAGTCTTCAGTGGCTATACCATAATGCTCGCAAACGGTTCACAGTGCCACTCACATCTTCAATGGGATGAATTATACACAAGCTGCCATGGTCACAAGTTTTTTGAAAAGTTCATCATATTATTCACGGGTGTAGCGGAAGTTCTGATATTTTATGTTTTGTTATTTGGCACACTGGGAAATATGGCTATAATTGTGTTCCTATCGTTTAAATGCAGACTGGCTCAGAATTTGTGTCACTGGGGTCGAGTTTGTGCTATTATTGACCTGATGTTTCACCTATTCTTCTATCTTGGATGTGACATAAGTCAAACAACAGAATCATTTTGGTCAAGATCGAGCTTGGAGCTTCACGGGCTTAACTATCTACTGTGTGGCATTTCAGGATTTGCTTGGGATTTTTTCCTATCTTTACGAATTAATTTCGCGTTTATCCTTTTGCTTCACATGAGTGGATTCAACATAAGCAATTCGTTCGCTTTCAGAGGTACGAAGGCATTACTTTTCCTTCTCATCTCCAGCTGCCTAGCTTTTATTTCCGCTGCTCCCTCTGCCTTCGTTAATGGACTCTGGCAAATCTATGGGGCATTTATTTGTTCGCCAGATCCGATTTGGACGTATGAGTATAATGTGTTTTATCACTTTCACAGGATGCTTCTAATAGAAGGATTCGCGCAAAGCGTTTGCATTTTATTGCTTTGTCATGTGTTGTGGCGGAGACAACGGCGAAATAAAGAGATCATCAGTTACTTAACAGGAATTCCGGATTCTTCGACGGTTCCTGGAATGCTGATAACCGGTTACATGTTGGAATTGCAAGATTATAACACTAACTGTACCACTGTTATAATTCATGTTTTATCGATCGCTTTATGCCGCTTATCGGCGTGCGTTTTCAAATTTACTTTTCAACTAGCTCATCTGTTTGAGAGCTACCTTCAACATGATTCTAAGAATCGGTCCGACATTCTTAATGAAAAGGCTCTACAGAGTTTGGGCACATATACTGAGATAGCAATAGCGAGCTGTTCAACACTATGGTGGATTGCTCGCCATAAGCGGCTTGCTACCAAAAGACCGACTGATCAGCGAAAACCAAAAAAGTGTTTCAGTATTTTCCGTGCAAAACAAATCATATTAAACAGGCGCTATTATTACGAGCAAGTTGCCTTACAGTATCGAGGTGGACGGAAACAGCTGAAACACCATCATCAAGAGTTGGATAACTTGAAGAACCTGAAGAGCAAGCTATATTACGATAACCAGAAGAAGCTAAGACATTTCTTAAATCTGCAAAATCCCGACTCAACCGCATTTACTTCACTAAGGCAATTTGAAAATCATCTTCAACGAAATTCAACACGCACTTTTAGCTCGATGAGTCCACGAGACAGACATTCAAACCGATCGTTCTCCCAATTAGTGACCAAACGACACTATTTCTGACCACTTTTTGAACTTTGTTTCACCCACAGCCAAAAGGTTTGATAGATTTCTGCGTTCGTTTGGCGCCCAAGTATTTATACGCTTGTGTATCAACATGGTCCCCAACTTTTCAAGGTGATAATATTGACTGATTGTATGTGATACTTTTGGAAGAGCATCTTTCATTCTACCGACGATCAAATTGGAGTTGGACATAATGGGTAAGGTGGATCGCCTATTTGATGGGGGAACCGGGAACAAGCGATCTCTACTTGCGGTTGGTGGCAAACTAAGTACCGAAAACGTGGAAATGAGTAAGTTTGACAATCTCTGTGGTCCTATTAGCGTTCTGTTTCGTTAAACAAAAACAGCTTGATAAATTAGAATGCGAGGGACAACATTGGAGTCTATATTTTGAGAACGTGAGTTTACAACAAATACGTGCACCTTAAAAAATAATTACAATACCACAAATGAATAGGCTCAAACATAGGACTTATTGTTTTGACTGTTGTAATGGTCCCTCCGAATTTGTTTGGAAGCAAATAGTCGTATTTCTTTTGACACTACTACACTTTTCCTGGCCGTTCGTAGCTTGGTGTGTTGAGCCGGAATGCTTTCTGACGTGCGCGTGATGTGTGTGTGTGCCTGACCATGTTCTGTCTTTATATGTTTCGTTGCAATGAGTGAAACATGAAAGCAACAATGTGAAATCATA